TTAAAGATGTGGTAAAGTCCGTTCTGCGCATATATTCTGCGCATCAAAACATTCCATCAGTGGGGGAGCAACCTTTGGAATGTTGTTAATATTTCGCTCTTTCCGAACTTTCTTGAATTGAATCTCTAGTCTGTATTCATTTACAAACATAACGAACCAGAAAAGTGTTAAAAATTCAGTATAATATATATCTAATCATATTTTACAACTGTAGCAGTGAGTTCAAAATGTAAACAAAGCGTTTGTTTACATTACGGACTTTACATCACCTTTAATAGATTAAAATAATTCAAACATGCAACTGATTTATTGTCCCGTAGTTTAAAGTACTAAACAATGTTAATAGATTAAAATAGTTCAAACACTAATTGTTCTACCAGTACAACCGTTCATCAAGTCTCCAGAATGTTTTTGTATTTCAAATGCTTCGACGTATTTCCTCTACCCGTCGTTCACGATATTGGCATGTAAAATCTTCCACTTTATTGTAGGTAACTTTGATTTCTTGTGGGATTCCAAATGTTTGTAAACCGTCTGCTTTTCCATTGTCAAGTGTTTTTTGATCCGTGATCCAATTGTTCGCCCCGTTTCTACAATGTAAACAATTCCACATATTGAACATTCGATTTTGTAAACTACATTCTTCTTAAGGCAAAGGTTCGGTTTACAAGATAGCTTGCACGTTTCACATTCGCCCTGGAAGTTCTGTTTAGTCTTTGGTGGAGCAAAAACTTTAGAAAGGGGTTGCCCGTTGGTAAAATGTAATCTTATATTCGGTATTCGTGATCGCTTTACTACCCTTATAGCCTGTCGTTTAAATTCTTCGTTGATAAATGGTAGTTTTACATAGGTAAATTGCTGCTGTTCTAATTCCTCCGGTTCGTTATCTTGCTTGTTATGCCGTTGTCTGTTTTTATGAATCGTTCTTCTAATTATGGATTTAAAGAATGTTTTGGGATATCCATTGGCAGTGAATAACTCCGTAATGAGATTAAGTGACTTCTCTTGTGTTGTGGAATCAGTTGAACATTAATAGCGCTGTTTACTTCCCGAATTACTATATGACTCGTTTATAGAGGATATTGACCCGTGGCTGTCCCATGGTGTAATGCATTGACTGTGAATTGGTTTTATGTAGAGAATTGTAGTGAATATTTGAGTATCGGGGTTCCAAGTAAGAAGGGTATCCAAAAAAGGTAATTGGTAGTTATTTGGCAACTCAAGTGTGAATTTGATTGCACTGTTAATTAGGTTATTGGCTAATGTTAAAAGCTTTTGTCCTGAAAGGTCTATACATAACAGGAAAGCAAAATAATCGTCGATAAATCGCTTGAGAGTGACAAATCCATTAGACTTAAGTAAAATTTGATTGTCGAGTTCGTCATATATATAGTCGCTAAAATGGGGGCCAAGTTGTTCCCCATAGCCAAACCTGATTGCTGTTTGTAGCCTTTGCCGTCAATCAAAACCCGGTCGCTAGTCAAACAGAGACGAACCAGTTCTTCGAAGTCTTTGTCGCTCAGGGCATGCAACCGACAATCAGCTTTGGTGGAAGAAACGTTGGTGTGGAAGAAACGTTTCAGTGTTGGTGGAAGAAACGCCGTGCAACTGTGAAAATGCTAGGAGTATGATCGTCTATATCAGCCAAAGGTATATAGACCCGTATAAGTTACATACGTCTAAGCTGCGGAAACCATCTACTGAATTACTGTCCGTATTGGAGATGAAATTGATAAATTCGTCAGTGTTTTTTAAATGAGCTGGAATATGTTTTAAAAGTTCTTGTAATGATTTAGCTAGGTACTTGGACAGAGAAGTTGCGGGTGCATCTGTAGCTGCGTGTATAGGTCTGCCTTTAAGTTCCGATCCCTCTTTATGATCTTTGGGTAGACGTCGACAGTAGGCAGAGCAGGGTAGTAGTTCACTGCAGATAGTAGCTTTGAGGTCCTTATATAACTTGCGGTTCTTATATCGATATTTGTTAGTAACTTTGTTCAAACGGGTATTAAAGTTTATTTGTTCCGTCCTCGGTAGATTTAGTCTATTTAATTTTTTATAATTTCCTGTCTCTGTTGTTGATCTATGTAGCATATCATAATATGATGTTGAATCCAAAGCAAGTAATCGTTTAGTCTTATATATCCGTGGGGGTGATAACTATGTCCCTTGGTGGCAAATCATAGGTTAGTGACTTATTTTTAAGAAACTTTTTACCATGCTTATTACCTTCATCGATCACGCGAGCCATCCCTTCTTTGAATTCATTTACGGCGTTGTCGGGAATGTTTTGGCGTTTGAGTTGGTCTGCAGCATGTTGAAGACTGGCTTTAGCTAGTAAACTAAGTCTGTGGAGATGTTTAGGTTCGGCGTTTACGAAGGAGGGGCCCTTTTCCAGAATGTTTTTAAGACCATCGTTCAACGCTTGAGACGATATGTTTTTGAATCCTTGTGGCTTGTTGGAAGTTGATGTTGACGAAGTGTGGTGGCATTGTCGGTTCAGTAGTTGCTGGAGTTTACGTTGTTTGGTCTCGTTTAGGGAGGTTTGGAAGCGTACAATTTCTTGATCTTCGTGTTGAATCAGTGGAAATACGTACTGGCGAGTCTTATATAAGCGGTGATATTGAGTAATGATTGCTAATTAAAACCACTGCATGTCTGCTATGTTGTTGTGTTAGTTTCCTGGCTGCTGGACAGTTGGTGGTGTTTTCCAGTATGTTTTTAGCTCACAGACCATTAGGTATAACCGACTTAACGACTTGCACGTACGTAAGAAGGAAATATTACTGAGATGACGAATAATTTTCTTCGCTGTACGATAATATAAATGGGTTTGAGGTACCATGTCTGGATAGTGTATGAACTTGGCTATAAGATGGAATTGTCACTCTCAAGCGATTTATCGACGATTATTTTGCTTTCCTGTTATGTATAGACCTTTCAGGACAAAAGCTTTTAACATTAGCCAATAACCTAAACAGTGCAATCAAATTCACACTTGAGTTGCCAAATAACAACCAACTACCTTTTATGGATACCCTTGTTACTTGGAACCCCGATACTCAAATATTTACTACAACCCTCTACATAAAATCAATTCACAGTCAATGCATTACACCATGGGACAGCCACGGGTCAATATCCTCTATAAACGAGTCATATAGTAACTCGGGAAGTAAACAAGCTATTAAATGTTCAACTGATTCCACAACACAAAAGAAATCACTTAATCTCATTACGGAGTTATTCACTGCCAATGGATATCCCAAAACATTCATTAAATCCACAATTAGAAGAACGATTCATAAAAACAGACAACGGCATAACAAGCAAGATAACGAACCGGAGGAATTAGAACAGCAGCAATTTACCTATGTAAAGCTACCATTTATCAACGAAGAATTTAAACGACAGGCTATAAGGGTAGTAAAGCGATCACGAATACCGAATATAAGATTACATTTTACTAACGGTCAACGGTCAACCCCTTTCTAAAGTTTTTGCTCCACCAAAGACTAAACAGAACTGCCAGGGCGAATGTGAAACGTGCAAGTTATCTTGTAAACCGAACCTTTGCCTTAAGAAGAATGTAGTTTACAAAATCGAATGTTCAATATGTGGAATTGTTTATATTGGGGAAACGGGGCGAACAATTGGATCACGGATCAAAGAACACTTGACAATGGAAAAGCAGACGGTTTATAAACATTTGGAATCCCACAAGAAATCAAAGTTACCTACAATAAAGTGGAAGATTTTACATGCTAATATCGTGAACGACGGGGAGAGGAAATATGTCGAAACATTTGAAATACAAAAACATTCTGGAGACTTGATTAACGGTTGTACTGGTAGAACAATTAGTGTTTGAACTATTTTAATCTATTAACATTGTATAGTACTTTAAACTACGGGACAATAAATCAGTTGCATGTTTGAATTATTTTAATCTATTAACATTATATAGTATTTTAAACTACAGGACAATAAATCAATTGCATGTTTTGCATATTTTTATATACATTAGCATACTCATTGTAAATTTAGTATTTTAATTAGTTTCATATAAATAGGAGGAAATATTATTGTAAAAAACATTCCACTGAAGAAGCCGTAAAAGGCGAAACGTTTGGAAAATATACTTTGTGTATTTTTATGTCTGAAGAAATCTTATAGCCAAGTTCATACACTATCCAGACATGGTACCTCACACCCATTCATATATATATATATATATATATATATATATATATATATATATATATATATATATATATATATATATATATATATATATATATATATATATATAGGCACTGCTCATACCCTGCCAGCCAGTTTAGCATTGATCAGATGGTCGATTGCATTGTATTCACATATACACAGTTGCCAATTGCTAGCAGATATATATGTTACAATAAATATCTACCCAAACACTGGTCGTCAGAAAGCTGCTATTGCCAGTATTAGGAAATGTTGTACTACATATGATTCAGATGATCACCTATAGTGTTTAACTTGTGCAAAAATTGTTCGGAAAACATTTAACTGGGTGTATATAAAATATAATAATCATTCGAACAGACGTGAAGAAGAGTTGATGGAGAGGGTGCATCGCCCCCCCCCCCTGCACCAGATTTCCTATTTACATGTACATACAGTATATACCCATATATTCACAATTTCATGTTCAGCCCCCTTACCCATCCCAGTCCCTTTCTCCTTGTAATGTTGCATATAACAGCTTGTGAATCTAACACACTACGCACAACCCAACCTCGTCCCCAGGGTCTTCTCATTTTTCACGCGCCATGCACGAAGAAGACCCTGGGGACGAGGTTGCGCACAACCTTGTATGGGGCTAGGGGGTAGATATTGCAGTGGGTGTCAAATTCAGCACTATTGATGTAAAGTGTGCCAAATAAATATTTTTTCCTGGGTTTGTACCCTCACTAGCTCGCCTGTTATATTCGGCCAATTATCGCGGGATAATAGATACATCGGTAAAACAGATCGTTGTTTCTACAGCAGAATCAATTAATCACATCATGCGAACATCACATCATGCGAACACTTTCTACATATATTGATCAAGTCTATTTTAGAAATGTATCCTGATGAAGAAACTATAACCCAACTCAAACTCGCATGTATACTTTCAGAATCTATATTTTATTTACAAAAGCTGGAATATTAAAATGTTTATTTTCGGAGTTACCATTGTTTTATATTTGATTAAAATACTCAGTGGTTCCCGTAATAGGCCACATTTGGGATTGCTTAAAACTGCCAATGAATGAATAATCATATTCAGTAAATTATATGTTTCAAATTATATTCCAATTGTATTCCAACGGTTTTTTCTCTTTGAATCATTTAGTCTCGTATCGGTGCTTGCCTAGTACCTGGCGCCATATTTGCAGCTGTTCCCAGCACAGCACAGAGTTTCTCTGAAACATGGCCACGAAGGAAAAAGAATCTTTCAGCATTATCTACAGCTTTGGGAAGTATTGGCAATCTAGCTCAAGCAGTTGTCGTGGCTGAAGGCTCGAGAGAAGACATTAATGAAGACGCTGGTACTTCAAACGAAGCACTCGACGATTGTGAGGATTATGAATCCGATGGACATTATGCAGTAGTGGATGAATCTATACTTCGTGGACGGAAGAGTCAAAGTGGCGACAATGATGACAGTACGAATGTGGCAAGAACGCCCCCGGTGGAAGCAATATACTCGAAGGTCAACAAGAAACGAAAACCACAGGTATAAGGACGTTAGCGGCGGACGATTGGTTTGTTTGGCGCGGAGGCCACAGCACAGTGGCGGACACTTATGAAATATTGGGGGGGGAGGGGAGCGGCTCGTGCCGAAGGCACAGAAAGTTTTTAAAATTGAATCCCGGAAATGGCATTTGCAGGATTCTGAGAACACATTTTGTAGTATTTTGTTTTCAAAACACTGTTTTAATGGTGCGTTTTGTTATTCAGTAGATCACATGCTAAGCATAGAAAACCAACATTTCAGAGAGAATATGTAAATGATTATTTACATTTGTGAATGGAATTGCAAGGTGGTTTAATTTAATTAACACGCCAATTCGCTGTTTCAAACAACCGTAGTATCCGTCAAAACGAATGTATAAAATGCGTATGTTGTGACATGTACAATACAGAAACATATATTAATTATATTATGATGACAATTACGTTATATGAGTGTGATTTCTGTTATTTGGTACAAGATTTTTAGTCTCATAATTATTGGGGGGGGGGCTCGCCCCCCCCCCCTAGCCCTCTCCCTCCTAGTGTCCGCCACTGCCACACCAGACAAACTCTTGTCCGGTAATCTAATATACTGTATATCTCAGGAGCACGAACTGCAGTATTCGGCCTATGAGAAAAGTGAAGCCAAGATTGGCAGTCATTGACGTCCAGTTTTATACCATTTTCCCCACCTAAATCCAGTTCTTTTCTAACGGACCGTATTGCATGTCCAAAAATTGTCTTAAGGTGGCTCGATATAATTATCACAAAAACCCTGCTCAAGAAACGCGAACAAAACTGGGCGACCATTTTTACGCGCAGGTCGTGCAAACTGATTAACAAAATGAAAGAACCTCCAAAATGACCTGACGTGAGCAGTTGCTCGCGCCATCTCACGTCATTGCGCGTGTTGTATAGCGCTTTGTGTCGATTGCTGACGTCATTAGAATTTTCCATTTTAGAAAAACAATGCGCTATATCTCTTTATTTTGCCTGGTGAC